CAGGATCCGGCCGTTGAGCATGCGCGCTGGGGGGGGCGGGGACGACCGGTGGTTGCTAGGCAACGGCGAGGCGCAGAGGCTGCGCGGAAGGCCGCGGTGGGTATGCGGAGGGCGGGCTCGCTTGCCTGTGCGGATGCCACCGAGTTGGGTTAGGGAGAAGGGTGGAGAGGGGACGGTTCCCCAGCAGAGTTAAAAGGAAGGGCGCAGAAGCAGAGCTAGGTTAGGGGGGCTGGGGGTGGGGGAGGGCTGCGGAGTACCCCTTGGTGACGACCCAGGACACCCTGGAGGATGGCGGGTAGTCTTCCCGGACAGCAGCCCCAAGGGTGCTCGGTCTCCGGGACAGCCTTGGGTGACCGTGCCTTGGGAGGGCCTCAAAACATTAGCAGTCTAAAATCGATAATTCCCCAAACCAAACGCTACCAATTTCTTAAAAGGGAACCAAGTCCGGAGGTATGCTTGAAGTTTTCAGAGGATTTTAACCTTGTAATTCTACATCTGTCTGTGTGCTTCTGGCCACCCCAGGTGGAGTCGCATGAAAATGCGCAAACGACGATTTCCTAAGTTACCAGGCATGAGACAGTGTGTCAAATTGTATTTTTAAATTGTATGTTTGTATCTCTTGTGTGCCTGTTTTTAATTAGCATGTTTATTAATTAGCTTAAGGTCACTGAGACAGATTGGTAACTAATTATTTTGACACCAGAAGGTTCTTTTTTACCAAGCCCCACCTCTTTTATCTAGGGGTTAATACTGGAGTTTACAAAAAGAATATTCCTATTGATTTTAGTTCTTAATACTGGACAAGGATTAAGTTTCTGACCCTATCGCTGCCACCGACTGGTTATGTAATCTTGAGAGTCACCTAATCTCTGGACATGTTTTCTCATTTATAAAATGGAGTTGGACTAAATATTTGAAGTTTCCAACTCTGAAATTTAATGCTACTGTAGGATTTACAAGGGACACCGTTTTTCAAAGCTCTTACCTTGTTTTTAAATCACAGTGGCTTACAGTGTAGACAAGAGATAAAACTGTAGACGGCAGACAGCCAGCTATGGTCATCAGACGACTTTTACTGTGATGGCAACTGTATTCTGCCAGGTTCCAGGCGTTTTAAAAGAAGTAGGGGAAATTCTGGCAGTGGTCTTCCAGCCCTTTAAATACCTTCTACCTGGCCTGTCACGATGAAATGCTGGACAGAAACTTGTCATGCACCGCTTGATGCCAGAATTGACAGGGAACAAGGCTGCGGCCACTGCTGTCATCTGTCATCTTGGCAGCTGCTGAGCCCTGGCGACCTCGGAGTTGTCTCCATTTTCCTCACTCTACACTCGCTCCGCAGAGGGTTCACCTGTCAGACTAATTTAACAGAGGTGTCGATCCTTAGACACTTATTTCGGATTAATTCCTGTCTAGTTTGACACTTAGGCCCGCAGCGCTATTTCCTAGATTACTTCAATAACTCCTGTTTCTCCCCTTTCCAGTATATTCTGGACCTTATGTTCATAAAACATACCCTTGTGTAAAAACTGAAAGGGCCGATTCCAAACTCTTCCACCAGCTTCGAAGGGAAATAGAGCCAGAATAACCATTTACGGAGCATCTTCCGTGCGCAAGGGTCCACGTGAGATCCTTCTCGCCCAGCCTGGTCCTGCGCACCGTGCGTGCTTATACCTGCTTCAGCGAGGGGAAACTGAGGCTCAGATATGTCGAGTCCCCTGCCCAGCAACCGGGCAGAGCAAGCCCGGAACCCGAGATCGTTCCCCGTGTCCACACGTCTGCGTCGTGAGGACTGAAGTCACCAGCACCCTGCTTCCATTCCGGTGCACCCACTGTCCCCTGTCTCCCTAAGCGGTGGGCATGTGCTGAGTTCCTGAGTCCCTCTGTGGCTGTGGAACCCGTAGTGTCGCAGGTTCCTTGTCCTCTGTCCTTCGGGTCCCCGTGTGAGTGTCACCTCCCGAGGCCGTATTCCGCTTCCCAAGCCCTGGTCTCTGGCCCGAGGGGTGCGCGCGTCCGTGTCACTCCATCCCGTCCGGCGGTGGGTGGTTCTCATGTGCACGTGCCCGCCAGCTCTGACGTCACGTTGACTATGTTTCCACAGTAGAAGAATTAAAGGAATGTAATATGACGATGACATAATTCGATATAACCCAGCAACAACTTTTCCTGCTTCAGCATGTTAAAAAATAAGGTACGCAACTCTTTTTAAAAATATATGCATTGTTTAACTCGTGAATATCTATTTAACTCGGCTGTTATTTGAGTGTAAAAAATAGTCTGCAAACTTTGCTCGAAGGAGGATCTATCAGCTGTAGTATTTACTACAAGCATCTCTTAGCTGCAAGGCAGTTTTATTCTATATGTTTTCACCAAAAAAAGCATCTCCTTAAATGCAAGATTCTCTTTAATATAACAAGCCAGACTTGCTCGGAGTCTAATTTAATTCTAGCGAAACAGAATGTGTTCAGGCCTGCACAGTGTTTAGAGGCCATAATGAATTTATTTGTATTATAATTAAGGACTCGGTAATTAAATGGAAAGCTATTACTCTGTCGTTAGCACAAATGGTGAGGCCGAGCTTGCTCTGACCGGGGTAGCGATGGGCCGAGCACCGTTTACCATTCAGTCTGGCGCAGTAGGTTTTCAGGGTCGAGTACCAGACCCTCCGTTTTCTTCTAAATGATACATTCCATAACGGTCTGTATATGTGGCTCTTTCCTACTTTTTAGGGTCATTCATCCAAACAAGGTAAATTAGATAAATTAGCAGTCACTGCGGTTGCTTTACAAGATCACATTTTACACGATCTCCAACTTCGAAATCTTTCAGTAGCAGATCATTCTAAGACAAATGTAGCAAAAAGAGAGGACAGATCCAAACCTCTAAAAAGACATACGAAAGCAGTGATAGATACGGGACTTCACAAAACGACACTGGGCCCAAAAGTGGAAGATCCGGAAAAAGAATACGTTCTTGACCCAAAACCGCCTCCGTTAACTTTAGGTAAGCCGATCTCGCCATGTTTGGGCTTATTAGAGCTAAAGAATTTTAATTGAGATTAATAGTATGATTTTTTTTCTGGTACAGAAATAATCTATTTTAATTTAGAATCTTACAAAAAGGTACGTATGTACTGAAGCTTATAAATGACGATGGGGACAATCGGAACAAGAAGATAAAAATTGTAATGATAAGTAAAATCAGTAAAAACAGTAGGATAAAATAAATATCCGTGCATCTGCACTAACAGAAATAACTGAATAAGTAAAGGGAAAGAAAAGCTCTTTCTTACAGCAGGATGACAACTAACAGATGTAGGAGACGGACTAGAAATGAAAATCACTGGCAGACAGCACAGCAGCGACGCCCACCAGTGACTCTGGAACCGGCGGGGAAATCCCGTGGGGACACAATGGCACCGTGTCTCCCCACAGCTACGCAGTCATTGCCGGGGAGCAATGACAGCTTTACCAGGGTGACGCGGGGCACAGAGCGCCTCGACCAGGTGACCAAAGTGCCCGTCCCTGATCGTGACACACGCCAACGTCACATGCGTCCAGGCCTGCTCTGAGAAAGGCACAGCCTTCCCTCGCGGTGTTCTTGCCCGGACGCAGGCTGAATGTGATCGTGAGGAAAGAACAGACAAACCCAAACCGAAGGGTATGTACGCAGCTCCTGGCCAGCGCTCTTCAAAAGCGTCAGGTTAAAAGCAAATAAAGATGGAGGAACAGTCCCAGAGCGCGGGAGACGAAAGGGCCGTGGCCACTGAACGCGGTGTAGAATCTCAGTCAGAAA